TAGCAGAAGGATACCATGGAAAGACCATCTCTAGGAAGGAAGTTTCAAAGCTGGAGCAGCCACCAAGAAGTTCCTCTCTTACTTTCCTGCTAGATGTCCCTGTGAGGGAGGGATGAAGAGAAGTCCCTGTTTTGAAGATCTCAGCACCCTGGTAGGTTTATATGGGAGAAAACAGACCTCCAGATAAAATGGACCCAAGCTAAAAAGGGATTTATAAATCATTTGAATTGACCCTGGAAACAGTCCAGTAACCAGTCGAGCTGTAGTAGCAAGGGAGTTGCATGTTCTTGTTGATCCCTGTGTAACAGTCTGGCTGCAGCTCTTTAGATCAGCTGAAGTTTTTTAAATATTCAAAGGGAGCCTTGTGCAGAGTGCATTATAGTAATCCAAATGGGATGTAATTATGGAATGTGCCACCATGGTCAGATGAGACATTTTTAGAAACTGATGCAGCTGTTCACAAGTTTTAACTGTGTGAACACAGACCTGGCCATCAAAGAAACCTGAACTTCCAGACACAGGATTCAATCCAGAGTATGCCCAAGATGCAGACCTACTATTTCAGAAAGGCTGATTCTCCATAGAGCACAGGCTGAATTAACATTCCCTGATCTTTGGCCTGGCCATGAACACTTTTGACATGTCTGGATCAAGTTTAAATATATTTGATCTTATTCAGTCCATTACTGATGCCAGACAATGGTGCAGAAATGAAAGAGCTTTCTTGGAGTAAAGTGAAAAGACGAAATAGGGTCAGATTAGAAATATTGGACAAATTAAATATGTGTATTCTCTATTATTAATCCATACTTCCAGCCAAAATGAGATTTCCTCAGAGATACATGCTTCAGCAGAATTGCAAATATAAGCCTGTGTTTACCTTCCCATTACAAAAACAAAACAAAAGCTGGAATCTTGTTGGTTCCTTATGCTGTCTTAAATGCTGTTACACAAGCAGCTGTATGTTTTAAGGTATTGTGCAAGTCATGTGCAAGCAGTGTTGTTCTGGTTTGCAAAGAAATACTGCTTAGGATATACCACAAGAGCCATGTGTAGTGCAGATAAGCAATCAATACCATACACTGGCCTGCAAGTATTTTTCCACAGTGATGTGATCAGTATAGCTATACAATTTTGTGCTATGCAAGCAGTGAACAGGATTGCTGTCAAAGCATGCTAAAAGAAATAGGGGTGGGAAGGTGGGTTTGGGGTTTTTAGACTGTATTTTAGGTTGATTTATATTGTATGGAATTTTTAACTGATGTAAGCCGCCCCAATTGGTTGACAGAGGGGCGGGGTATAAATAAATTTGTATTATTATTATCATTTATTATAAAGATAGATAAGTGAGGAGAAGCATATGCTATGGTAAATGGATATCTCTTAGTATTTAAAGGAGTGCTGTAAAAAAAACCACACGATGAATGTATCATCTAGTTTGGCACACAATGAAAGTCCTTTCTCCCATTTTATGTCAATGTTACCTTGGCAGGGAAGGACATAGCCAATTTAGAAATTTCTAAATGTATTTTATCATTAAATGTGAATCTTATAATGCATTTTCAGCCCCCCATTCAGACCTACACTGCAGAAATCAGAGAAATATAAAACATGATGGATGGCTATGTTTTTATCTGCACTTTAGTCTAAGGTCCAAAACACACTGAACTAATCCAGTTTGAGACCACTTTAACTGCCCTGGCCCAGTGCTAGGGAATTCTGAGAACTGTAGTTTTTTGAAACATTTAGCCTTCTCTGTCAGAGAGCTTTGGTGTCACAATAAACTACCATTCCCAGAATTCCCTAGCACTGAGCCAGGGTAGTAAAAGCAGTCTCAAACTGAATTATTTTTGTAGTGTGTTTTGGGCCAAAGAGGTGTAGATGATGTCTGGTTTACTAGAATTTCCAAAGAATTAATTCTTCTAGCAAGCCTAATATGCATCACAGAGGTATTAGTTGTTAATTTTTATCTGGGGTTAATAATAAGGATAACTGCTCCATCAAGGGTGGAAAATAGGGATACAAATTGTCATTTATTTTGTTCTCACAAGCACGAATAAAGAATTTCAAGAGTTTGATCCTCACTAATTACAGGCGCTTTTGCATGTTTCTATGATTTCTTTCACATTTATACACTTTCTGTGGAAAATCTGTGCAAGCAACAGTATCTTGTGAATCATTATCTTCCATAGAAGAGTTTTCTCATGAAACTTTATTATGAAAAAATAAATTTTCACAAAAAGTCCCAAAATGTAAAATGCCTCCCAACAGTTCACCATTTTCTCAATGAGGTGCCTCAAATGTGTGAAGACACCTTTTCTTCATCATCATATTTCATTATGATCAACAGATTTCTTGTGGAGGATGAGAAAATTCCCAAGTATTCTTATACCTCCCTAGGGGGCCTCTGACCCTCCAGATGTTTTGGACAACAACTCCTACAGACTCGTATTGTATGCTAATGACAGTTACAAGCCAAAACATCTGGAGGCCCTGATGTTCCCAACCTTTTTGATACACAGTTAAACTGACATAGAAGAATTTAGACTTCCATGTAATTATGTTGTTGAGCAAACTGAAAGTAAAAGGGTTACAATGGCTTGTTTACTTTACTTTTCCCTCATTGACTGACAAAAGGAACATGAGCAATTTTCAGTCTGACTGAGATTTAGTACAGGTATGTTAGGTTTTGTAATCTTCCAATCTTGTCTTTTACCATCTTTTTAGAAAAATTAATTCATACTTTCCATATTGCTCATTGGCTTTTGGAAGATTAAAAACAGCTGTAGGAGGAAGAGCTGCCTAGAAAGGGGAAAATAGGTTTTTGATCTAGAAAGGAGCCTTTGCTTACTAGTTGAAATGCTGGATCAATATTTAGCAGAACTCTTGTTTGGGAGGAACTTTTATCTTATCAAACCTGTCTTGGGTAGGACTTTGGAAGAACAGAATTTGAATTCCTGCTCAGTCATGGGGGCTGGGAGACCTTGGAAAATCACTCTCTCATCCTCAGCAGAAGGCAATAGCAAACCTCCTCTGAATAAATCTTGCCAAGAAAGTTCTGTGACAGGGTTGCCATAAGTCAGAATCAACTTGAAGTCACACAACAACAACAAATTATAACCTATCATGAAATTAGCCAAACCATCAGATCTGCTGATTGCCTTATGCAGATTAATAAAAACAGCTGGAGTAATGATGGATGAATACATGCCTATGGTCAGCCACATCTACTCCACTCATGAAATTAAAACTAATAAGATAAGGCAAGAAACCACCCCAAATCCAGAGTCTTTTGCAGATACACTGATACAATAAGAGTACTGGAATCAGGACCTATGCTACAACAGGGTATAGCTATGGCAGCCACTAATGATAGCCCATGAACAGAAAGCTTGCAGAATGCTTTGTTTCTTCTTCTTACTGTTTGTTTTATCATCTTCCCTGGTGTGAGTCTGGTACAGTGGGGACTCATGGCTTCCATATCAGTGGCTCAGTGAATCCAATATTCTGAATTGTATCCCTCAGTAGACTTGGCACCTCAGGTAATAACTTTAAAGTTTGTACTAAAACCCAGGGCCACTGATATGGGGGCCACAAGCCACTATTGATCTGGTTCAGAAGGAAGTGTATACTTTTTTTCTCTACACAACGAATGTCATTAGTTCTTATTAAAAGACTAGAAAATCTGTAGCCCTTCAGATTTTGTTGAACTTCAGCTCTGATCAGTCCTACTTGTTATATTTTATATGTTTCACTGAATCACATGTAAAGAAAATAAATATGGATTATGAATGCTATTTCAGTTGGATTTGCAATGCAAGGCTGTTTTTTCAGAGCAAAATCGTAGGGTGCTCAGTGGGACATACACAATAGTAAATGTGTTTGGGATTTCAACCTTTGTAGCCGTGATTGTATTCTTTCTTATGGCAACCCTAATGTAAACTTATCAAGGGGTTTCCTTGGCAAGATTTGTTCAGATGGGTTTTGCTATAGCTTTCCTCTGAAGCTGAGAGAGTGTGGCTTGCCCATGGTCACCTGATGGGTTTCTTTTTAAAAAATACATATTTTAATTAAAATTCTACATACACTCAAAGTTAAGTACATCAAACAAATCATATACATTAAACTACATTCATTCAAAATACATAAAAAGCAGTACAGACTGTACTGCAACAATAAACACTAAACAAAAAAATGAAATAAAAACCAAAATATGACTTTTCTCTAATCAAAATTGCCAGTTTTTGCATCTCAGCTAACTCATTTATTGTTAATATCATTCCTCTCTGGTAGGTAATGCATTACTCTTCCATTTCTGAGCATATAATAATCTTACCACTGTAATCATACACTGTAGTATTCTTCTATGGTTTCATTCTAGTTGATCATCCACCTGTCCCAGATGAAAAAGGTCAGAGTTCAATTGTATATTAGACTTCAATATTCTCTGCATCATTATATGTATTTGAATCCAGTACTTTTTTCACAAGTCTACCAGATATGATTAAATATCTCTTCTTTTTTTTCACACTTCCAACAAACATTCAAAGTTCTCTTGTACATCTTGGACAATTTCTTAGGAATCATATACCAGTGGTAAATCCTTTTGTAAAAATTCTCTTTAGGATCATAACATAAAGTAAATTTCAACCCCTTTGACCATATCCTTTCCCATTGCACCATTGGCATATCATAACCAAAATTCTTGGGCCACTTTATCGTACACCTGTTCATCTTCTGTATGAAGTTTTAGCAAGAGTTGACACATTTTATAAATCTTGTGCATCATTTGAGCATAACTGCAATTCAAACTCAGATTGACATTTTTCAAAACTATTTTTTATCCATTTTAAATCTTTCAAATAACTTGTGATTATGAAAACTATTGAAAATCATGACCTTCATCAAAAGTTATCCTTTTGTTTTCATACTATGATCTTCCTGGCAGTTCTCCAACATTTCCTGATACCACAACCATTTTTCAACGCAGTGGATTTCCATGGCAAAGCAGGTATTTGAACCCTGATCTCCAGTGTTGCAGTCTAATGCTCAAACCTCTGCACCACACTGGCTCTCCAATTTCAATCTTACAAGGTTTATTTTAATTAAAGAAAAGAAAAAAAATAATAACTAGAGAGAAAGAGAAGTAGAAAGCACAGGCTGATGAAACATGTAAAAGTAAGAGGCTATCCAAAGCATCCTTCTTCAGCATGATACCCAAATGTCTTGGAGTACATCTCCCATTGTGGCTGGAGATTATTATTGTTACTTGGCACTTCTGGAGGGCATTCATTTGGGGAAAGTTGGTCTAGAATATCATTGCTATCTACTTGTCCCAGTATGGATTGATATGCATCTTTAATCAAAAACAGAAATAGCCACTGCAGAAAACTCCAGTTCTGATACCAGTGTTAGAAAAGGGCTAACAATGCATTCCCATCTAGCTTTATCCATAAGCCCCACTGAGTTCAATGAGACTTAGCCAAGGTAAGTATCCATAAGATTGCTATTTACCATATACATTGGAGATTATCGCATGAAGCTTCCTTCCCGATGCAGTTGTGGCTTTTTAAACACCCAAAACAGCAATAATTATTTTCATATTACCATGCAATTGCAAACTGATAACAGGTTGTGGATGCATCTTTCTCACTACCGTTCCATTTACAAATAAGCTGTCCAAGAGTAATTACTAAAGTAGCCTTGCCTTCATTGGAAATGGGGTGTTTATGCAATGAAACCCCTTTAAATACCCTTTCTCCTGCCCCAGATGAAATTGTTGTCTCCTCAGCAGTAAGAAGCCTTGCTTTCATTGGGAATGGGGGGATGCAGTGAAACTGGTTTAATCCACTTCTCTCTGAATTATCCCTGAAAGACCTATGGCATATATTTCAATAATGGGTTAACTGTGTGATTGACACCTATTCATGGGATTTTCCCATTCATTAAAAGCAGCGGCAAAAGCATAGATTGACAACAGGATATCTACTGCCTAGCCACGGGGGCATACGATAAAATCCCATGATTACATATTCAATCTCACTTCTATCCTTCTATTTAAGAACCATGTGATAATCTCCATTGTCTTTGTTTTCCCTGGCCAAAGATGGATGCCACTGACTTCTGGTAGACAGCAACTCTTCCTAAAGATGATCTGTAAGAAAAGATACATCAATCTGTAAATACCTTTCGTTCAAGAGAAACTAAAGTCTACACTAAAGGAGGAGCCTGAACTGTTACTAAAATGGGAGGGAAGTAGCCCTGGGCAAGAATCTGGGTTAGAAGCATGGCAAACTTCACATTCAGTTCCTAACATTAGCACATCACCCCCAAAGGAAGTTGTGTGATATAATGAAGACTGACAGCTTCAAAGTCTGAGGCTAACTAAATCTTCCAAGATATCCTTCCAGCACACATCATGGCAAAATTTCCATTGCAGCAAATCTTGAGAGGAGTTAGTAGAGCATGTTACACAAGGCGGGAGAAACAGTGTAATTCTGGCGTTCCAGTTTAGCTGCATGCATAGGGGGCCATGTATGTCCCCACCCCAATCCTTTCCTTGGTCTCCAGGGAAACACAGAGGAAATCACTAAGAAGAAAGCACAAAATGATAACCATTCTCAAGGATAGCTGGATCTAAAGTTATCACCTTTGTTTATTACTACCTTATGAGCTCCCTGGAAATACAGATGGCAACACATGTATTATTTTCAAATTATTTTGACATTTGGTTTATTTGACATGTGTAATTATTTTTTGAAGATCAGCAATGTTCCAATTACAGAAGGGAGATTGGTTGAGAAGGCTTAACTTGTGGTATAAACATTGCCTGTCATTCAGCATTGATTTCTGTTGAAGTGTGTGTATATATGGTAAACCTCTGTTGCCTCATGAAGAGTTTGCCCTTGTTAAGTGTAAGGATTATGTGAGACAGGCTCATCCCATTGACAAGATGTTGAGATGAAAATGCATTCAGTAGATGTGCTGAAGGTGAGAATCAGGCAAGGCTCTTGAAGTACAAGGTCTTTTGTGCCCCTATTTCATCTGTCTCCATAAAAAGTACCATCATTTCTCCCTCCAGCTCCCATTAATAACTGCGGCTTTGAGAAGGGAAGCAGGGTCAAATAAGTGATCATGTCCTATTGTCAGGAAGTTACCAGTTACAGAGGAAACCTGCTGTGTTACACATTTTTTCCTGTCTCGTTTTATTTCCTTGGTCCCCTGAATACTTGCATATGAAAGGAAAACACAACAAGGATTTGCTAATGTGAACAGTAAAAAGATAGAGAATGAAAGAGGACAGAGGATAAAATAACAGAAAAAATATAGACAACTCTATTGAAATAGACCTAAGGCCCCATCTGCATGGGCCAGGACACTATGGAGGCAGAATGCTGTCAACATTTAGTTCTGATTTCTGAAGATGAGATTTTGGTTCTAAACCATGGTCACATGGCAGGGTGCCTTGTTCTGACCTCAGAAAAAGTGACTTGTGGTTGCAGATACATTAGGCAGTTCAGCGGGCCCTTGGCATCTGTTGGGTTTGGTTCCAGGACCACCACCACCCTGGTACCAAAACTGCAAATGTTTAAATCCCATTATAAACAATGGTATAGTAAAATGGTGTCTCATATAAAGTGGCAAAAAGCAAGGGTGGTTTTTGGATTAAAAAAAAAACCTCAAGCTGTAGATCAGGGGTAGGTAACCTTTCCCCTTTAAGGGCCGAGGGACTTCAGCTCCCAGAAGCCTCAGCCACGTTGGCCAATAGTCCCATGTTGGCCAATAGCTCCTGGGATTGTACAGGTAGGATGAAGTCCCTCGGCCCTTAAAGGGGAAAGGTTGCCTACCCCTGCTGTAGATGGTTGAATATGTGAGTGCAGAATCCATGGATACAGAAGGCCAACTGTATTTAAGATTAACAGGGTAAACATTCTGATGGCTGAAGCAAAAAGCAAAGTGAACTCCCCCACCATACACATACACATAGACAATGATTCATATACAATAGATGGCCAGACTAGCAGTTGAATTATACTTGAGCAGTAGCTGCATCTTTCACTTCTCCTGAGCTCAGCAGGTTAACTGAAATAGCCCAGAGCAACTTGTGTATCACACACAGCCCTCTCCCCACATCTTCATCAGTGCCCCACATCTTACACCTGAGATGCCTCACTCTGCTTAATGTTAACGCAGGCCCAGTGACTACTAGTACCTTCCCTGTCAGCTGCTATGGGAGCCCTTTACTTGGAAAGCAGATACTGCAATGCTGTGCATTGCTTCTTCTCTGTTGCTGTGACTGCCCTCATTCCCCAGCATCTTCACAGAATTACTTGTTAGAATGGGCAGATCTTCCTTATGAGCTCTATGCTCAGAAATGTATGTGTGTGTATGTGTTTTAAAAAAAGGGGGATAATGTTGTGTTGTGTGTCTCAGCAGGCATCTGCTTTCTATGATCCCTCCATCAGAGCAATTTTGTCAGCTTGGCTATTTAAATTTTCTACTGACATTTAGCCAATTGAGGAAGGAGGTTGCCAAGAGCAAAATGATCAGAGTCATCTGGTTTGCTGTAGATTAATCAGTCAATTAAAGCTCGTCAGACAAAATGTCAAGCACAGAAAAACAGCTGCTTTTGATCATTTCAAAAATAACTCATAGATTCTAATGGTTCTGACACTAACAGGTGTCAAATTGTGCTTGAAGATCTTTAATAAGCAGCATGCAAGTGGACTGTGGCCTTCTAAAGGCAACCAGAAATCTCCCATTTTGCAGATAAGTGGGAGTTTACACTATAGCTGCAAGCACCCTTTAATAACTTAATTGTCGATAGAACAGTTATAATTGAATCAAGTACAGGGGAGGAAATAAGCCTTAAAGCTTCACAGCTTTCTATGTAACGAATCCCACATTGACAGTACATGAAAAGTGAAAATGATGCTGCCTGTTAGAAATCAGTGTTATTATTTGTTGACAAATGCATCACAAATAGAACAAAACAGATATGCAGAAGCATAAGTGATCGTTACATCTTTTGGCAACAGTCAAAACATGATTTACAGTTGTTGTTCTTCTTGTTGTTGTTGGACATTTGTTTATGTACATAAGATCTCATGTTAAACCAATAGATGGCTTTAAAATAATTTTGTTTTCCATGCCTCATTAATTAGAAATAAACACCATGGCTTAAGAATGGCTTTGCCCTGAGCTTACACTCACAGTGTTGTTTGTAGCAAAAAGCAAAGCAAAGCAGCTTCATTTATATACTGCTTCATACCGCGCTATGGGGTGTCTAAGCGGTTTACAACTGTGAGCTGATTGCCCCCCAACAATCTGGGTACTCATTTTAGCGACCTCGGAAGGATGCAGGCCTGAATCAAGCCTCAGCCCTGGCTGGTATTGAACTCGCAACCTTGTGGTCTATGAGTGAGTGGCTGCAGTATAGGCATTTAACCACTGCACCATGCTTATTTTCAATCTATACCTTGCTGTTGGTTGATACCAAACCTTTTTAAAAAGGTCTTTGCCTGCTGGGGAAAAGAAAGCAGGGAGGAGACCAGGCTAGCCTCCCACAGAAGGGAATTTCAGAAGGTGGGAACAGCCACCAAGAAGACTCTCAAGTGAAAGAAGAAGTCTTATTTGAAATCTCATTTGATATAAGAAATACTACCTGTACATTCTTTCTAATTGTTATTTCAACTCCTATCAGTGTTGCTCTTATTTTCTTAGTCAGACTAATGTGGGATTTCCAAAGTCAGACTAATGTGGGATTTAGGGAGGTTGCAGACTGCCAGAAATAGTGCAAATTGAGTCCAC